TCCAGTACAACCACAGCCTCCTCCTCCTGTCCAGTAGAACCACAGCCGCCTCCTCCTGCCCAGTACAACCACAGCCTCCTCCTCCCGCCCAGTACAACCACAGCCTCCTGCCCAGTACAACCACAGCCTCCTCCTCCTGTCCAGTACAACCACAGCCTCCTCCTCCTGCCCAGTACAACCACAGCCTCCTGCTTCTGTCCAGTACAACCACAGCCTCCTCCTCCTGTCCAGTAGAACCACAGCCTCCTCCTCCTGCCCAGTACAACCACAGCCTCCTGCTTCTGTCCAGTACAACCACAGCCTCCTGCTTCTGTCCAGTACAACCACAGCCTCCTCCTCCTGCCCAGTACAACCACAGCCTCCTGCTTCTGTCCAGTAGAACCACAGCCTCCTGCTTTTGGGCCACAGATCAGCTTCACTTGAACAGCTTCAGATCAAGTGACTTGCTTGAGGGCACCTCGGCAGGAGGAAGCGATATCTCACTCGGTTTTGAGTACCTCTCTTCTACAAAAGAAGCAAGTGCATGGTTTCCAATCATTAAGTTAATATTTACATTTTATTTTATAACAATATTTTTTTTAGCCAATATTCAAAACACAAAAAAATCAAACCCTCGCTACCCTTTGAAATGTACTTTTGTCAGAGCGGGAAAGAATTTGGAAGATGATCATAAGACAGTTAAACTTCGCACTGAAACAACAATTATTCATGAAGGACTAGCAGCTTCTTAAAAAGGCAAATTTAATCTCTTTTCAACCTTTTTCTCCATAAAAATCTTCCACCATAAAAATGTCATTAAAAATGTCCCAATGGAACTTAGATTCCTGTGAAGGGTCTAGTTTACAGGGGTTGCTGCAGTCCAGCACACATCAAAGGGCCCAATGTACCAAATGTCGACCGGAACAGTAAGTAAAACGTGTTGTTGCTTCAGCAAATTACAACCTAGTTTCAAACCCTTAAAGCTGCAGCGGGAAGGATTTGATTGCAACCAACTGAGGGCGGCTCACGTTACCGCAGTTTCACAAGCGTGCCGGAGAACTACGGTGGTCTTCAGGTAACTTAAAAGACATAAAAACACTCTCTGTAGAGCCAGTGTTTGGTTTGTCCCATCTGGGCTACTGTAGAAACATGGCGGTACAACATGGCGGACTCCATGAAGAAGACCTGCTCCCTATGTAGATATGAAGGACTCCTTCTAAGGTGACGAAAACACAACAATTCTTAGAGACAATGGCCCTTTAAATACCCAGTTTTAATCCATTAAACATGTACAGCTGAGGATCTTCAGCCTCAGTGATGCCCATGAAGAGAAATGTGTGATTCTATTGCTTCAGATTAAAGGTCTTCCTTTTTGAAACCTTTATTTCCCTCCAACAGCCCAAAATCACAGCTTTAACTTCATGCTCATTCATTCACACATGTGGACCCAACGGGTCACTCTTTAATTATTAGTTGTAAATTATTCTTTCTTGTGTTCCAGGTATAGCCTGATTATTACTGTATGTTGTTACTTAAAAATCTAATAATTACATGTTCTAATATTAATTTTTTATATCAAACCAAACAAATAAATAAATTTGATATTACAAAAAACTGTCGCCAACGTATGTCCAGAGTGAGATGCTTTAAAGAAAAACAAACTTAAGTGCTTTCTGGTGAGCAACACTGTTTTCTTAATTACCTCAGAAGTATCTTCAGCATTTGTGTACGGCAATTTCTTATTAATCATCAGCCAACATCCGTATATCTGTTATAAGAATACCGGCTCCGGCTCTAGTTCCAGGTTGATTTTATTTTGATTCCTGCTTGGGTTGATTTAAATATTCGAGTGTAACTTTTCAAAAACTCAGAGAAACAAATTATCCAAGAAAACCATCATGAACCAACAATATCTAATAAGCCAACAGCACTGATACAGCTTGTCATTTGGTCCGTTTCCCCATCAACCACTTATGTCAGAACAGAGTATTTCCATCACGACCCCAAACCAGGAAACTGAATGTAACACAGTAAAGAGGTAAAGCCTACACTGTTAGGGTTAAATCACAATGAAGACAAACAGCTGGAAACCTCTAAATGTGTTCATTTTGTGCATCTTCTCTAATTCTCATCGCCTACATGTTATTAGTGGAAGGAGGCAGATGGGAATATCAAAATACAGACATATTGCATAGCCTACCGTCAGGTTTCCACTAAGTTTTATCCTCATATCCTGTGAGGAAAACTATAATATTCCTGTAGCACGTCGAGGTTTTGCTGTGATATTTGTACAAAATCCTAACGCACAGGATTAACTCCGCATTAAAACGCCAGTAGAACAGCTCCTACTTTTTTTGTTACCATTCTTCTTTTCTATATCAATTTAATAATTAAAAAACTAAATAAAACAAACAAATGGGACCACCTGCAGACCTTACCTCTGACACACAGCAGGGACATCGCAGCGGGGGGTTTGTGCAACAGTTCCTCCAAAGCCGATGAGCCGTCTGTGAGTTTGCAGCCCAGTTGCCTATTGCACAGCAATCATTGACTCCTCCAGGCTGTCGTTTACTTCCCGCTTCATCGCATCTTTAATGAAAAATAATTATAAAAAAGTACAGCTGTGAGGACAATCCAGGGGGTCCTGAGGGGGTTTAAGGGACGGCTGTCACTGTCAAAGACCGACGCACTACAGGCTCAAATCCTGCAGAGCGGGGCGGCTCTTGTGCTGCGTTCATGGACTGCCCTAAAGGTTGGAATTTGGATAACTCTGCAAAACACAGACTGTGTGGTACACCTTATTTTGTTGTGGTGAACGTAGACTCGTCCTGTAACATTAAAAATACTTTGTCGCTCAAGAAAAATCTAAAAACACCACAAGCGACAATGACGGAAACTGAGGGGCAGAAGTCTTACAGAAACACTGGCTTTCGTCTGTCCAAAAATAAAAATATCAGGAGTTGTGGCCTAAATAGTATGCTTTCCACTGTGGATCTATCATCATGGAGCATGCAGCCCAGCATGATCAGGACAAGCGTAATGAAGTGCACTTGACTTGTTAACACTCATCCAAGATCAGTGAAATTTGGTGCAGAAATTGGGATTTAAATGTAATGATACAAAGGAGGAATACAGTATTATGGGTTTTTAAGAGAGGCCTACATCAAATGCAGAAAATCAAAAACACGTATGGCTCTTTTACCATATTTGAAGAACTTGTCATTTTAAAAGTTTATTTGTCACAGCTTCAGAATATAGCAGCAGCAAGACACACCGATACAGGTACCCTTGTATCACTTGAAACAAACATTTGAACGCCCAATAAGTATTTTCACCACACAAAATAAAGGTTTACCAGGGTCAGTAAAGGCAGCACCGGAGCTAATGAGTGTGCGTGACGTGGTTGAGGCTGGCATGAACTAAACTTGTGCGCTCACCTCAGGCAATGAAAAGTGGTCAGAGGTAGAAATACAATCTATAGATTAATAAAATAACTGTGCCTAAATGGATGATGAGGCTACAGTAGTTTGTGCAACACACACACACACACACACACACACACACACACACACACACACACA